CTTATACATCCAAATATTATAAATATGGGAAATATTGTTAGATATAAAACCATTTTGAATGAAAAGGGTGAGCTCAAAACAAAACAAGAAATAAATGAACAAGAGATTGATATGGTTTGGTACTCGTATATGCAAACACAGTCAAGGTATGAAAAAGATGTTAAAGCAGAAGGTTTTTGTAAAGAATTGACAGAATTGGATAAAATACTAACAGGAACAGAAGAAAATTGATTAAAATTGTACAGTTACGTATTGGGTATCAAATTAGAGAGAATGATAGCATAGGCAATTTTTTTTGGCTATGCTATAGAATTAGATAAATGGCAGAAATTGTGGGACAGAAACTATAAACTAACAATGTCAACAGCATTTAAAGAAAACCTATATAAGATGTTTTATAGATGGCATTTTGTGCCAGCAAGACTGGCAAAGATGTTTAAAGATAAATCAGCTAAGTGTTGGAAATGCCATCAGACACCTGGAACATATTATCATATATGGTGGATATGTGTAGAAGCTAAAAGATATTGGACAAAAATACATACGTGGTCGAAAAAGATGATAAAGCAACATATAGATTTAAAACCTGAAATACTTCTGTTGGGGATGATACCTGAAAGCTACAGTAAAGATATATTTAATTATTCATATATTAACTGCAGCTAGAATAGTATTTGCTCAAAACTAGAAAAGTGGAAAAATTCCAATAGAAGAGAATGCAATCAGGAAAATATTAGGATGTGCAGAAATGAACAGATTAACACTGGTAATTAAAGAAAAAGACCAGACTGAATATTATATAATATGGAAATTATTTTATCAATGGTTGGAAAATAAAAATGGAAGTTAGAAATTAAATATATGAACACAGAGTGGAAGGAGTTAAGAAGCGGATGGATATAACAATAAGACATATTATGTATAGTAGTTTGAAATAAGAATGTGGTTGTTGTTACAGTAAGGAATTTGTAGTGCCCAAGATATTTGTACCCAGTCAACACACTGTTTAAATAAAAGATGTTTGTAAAAATAAAATAATTTTTTTAAAAGAAAGAGTGATACAAAGCTACAGAGACCTAGGGAACCACAATTACCCCAGTCCAAACTCAGCTGCACCTGCCCTTGTCACCCTGTGGCTCCTGCTGCTCCTAACTCCACCAACCCAGCAATTTTTCACCATCTTTTCTCCCATTCCTGTTGACAAAATATGCTTACCTGTTGCAAGACAGCTGCTAAGCAAGTGAGGCCATATTCTAAGCAAGTGAGGCTGGTCTCATGAGGAAACCGCCTTGTGTGACTTTGGGAAGAAAAACTCATCAATCAGCAACTGCCTTGAAAAGGAACAAGCTTGGTTAGTAGCAGGAGTGAGAAGACTGTGAAAATCAGCTAGAATATCAGGACAATGGAGCACAGGGGGCCAAAAGGGCTGAGAAATAGTTGGGAGTTGCAGGGGGTCATCGAATGCCTGAGTTCTGGTCATGTGACTGCAGGGCCAATGCAACCATCATAACTTTGGGATCAACCATAGGTCCCTTCGTTCAGCAACACTGTTAAATTTGAACATTTGCAGAATTAATGACCTTAAGTCAAGGACTATATCAACAAAATTGTTTTTACATACTTATTAAATACTAAGAAGTAAATAAAAACATGTATTTTTACCTGATTAGAAAAGGACAGAAATTTGGGTTAAGATCTTAGAGCTTTTAAAAAATATTTTTATTATAAATTTTGCTTTATAATAGATAATATTTTCAATTATGCATCAACAATCCATCTCTTTCGGTCTCTTTCCTTCTCCTTCCCTGCCTTCCCTTCTCCCCTCTACTTCCCTCTCCCTTTGTCCTCTCCCCTTCTCTACTTCCTTCTCCTCTCTCCTCCTCTCCCCTCTCCTCATATTTTCAACTATGCATCAACAATCCATCTCTTTCGGTCTCTTTCCTTCTCCTTCCCTGCCTTCCCTTCTCCCCTCTACTTCCCTCTCCCTTTGGCCTCTCCCCTACTCTACTTCCTTCTCCCCTCTCCTTCTCTCCCCTCTCCTCATATTTTCAACTATGCATCAACAATCCATCTCTTTCGGTCTCTTTCCTTCTCTTTCCCTGCCTTCCCTTCTCCCCTCCGCTTCCCTCTCCTTTCTTCTCCCTTTCTCCTCTCCCCTCTCCCTTATATTTTCAATTTTGCATTGATAGTCTACTTCTTTCATCTCTTTCCTTCTCCTTCATCCCCTTCCTTTTCCCCTCCACTTCCCTCTCTCCTCTCTCCTTCCCTCTCCTTTCTTCTCCTGTTTTTTTCTTCAACTCCTCTCCCATTCTATTTTATCTTAATATACATCCATATTATGTGTGAACAGTTTTGATTCCGAGCATCGTTCATATTAATCCAATTTACCACAATATTAGTATTCTTTATCACAATCAAATGTAATCCTCTTTATATTATTTAAACTTTACATAAAAAGAAGATATCTAACATCTATAAACCTTTAATCTTTCTATCTATTATTTAATAATCCAATTTACTACAATATTGGTATTCCTTATTTCAATCAAATGTAAATAATCCTTTTTATATTATTTGAGTCTACTTTAAGAAAAAGACAACTAACATCCATAAGCCTTTAATCCTTCTGGTTTTTTTAGTTCCATAAGAAAAAGAAAACAAAATTTGCGTATCTAATTTGTTTCTACTTCTCCAACTTACAATCTAGCTTCCTTAATATTTAAGTAGCAATTCTTCTATCCATCGTCTCTCACCCTCAAGCGTGCTTCAGTTCTTATCCGTTTTTTTACTCGTTTTCCACATTCCTCATCTTTATCTTCCTCTATATCTTTGTTATTTAATCTAAACATTTCTCCAGTTACATTCTTGTGCTGACATTTCTCCCACATATCTGCCCATATTCCAGTCTCCTTATTCACAATATCTTCCAGTTTGCTCATTTGTTGATTTGCCTGTTTTATTTTCTTCAGTTTTTCTTCCTTTATTGGCTGATTGATCAGTCCTTTTTTTTACCCCAAAAAATTGCTTGCCTTTATCTAGTCTTCCTCTTTGTTGAGCTTTCGCTTCATTTACTCATTTTTCTGATCCATATTTGTTCCTTGTTTGTATTCAATTTGCTGTTGTTTTTTTTTCATCTTGTCTTTCTATTACTTCCACATTTCAAGGGCAGTTTCATTTTCTTTTATTGTTCTTTGTAAGATATTTTCCATTTTCTCATCCATGCCATCCATTAAGACTTTAATACTTTTGAAGTCACCTCTTGAAAAAATCCACTCATTTTCACAAAAGTTTCTTCAACTCCAGTCATAGTGATGATAATCATTCTACAATAAAGAATCTCTGTCCAGATCCAAAGAAGCCCAGAGTAATAGGGGTATAGTTTGTCTTCCAATCGTCAGCAGATGGTGCTCTCCTCTCAAATTTCCATGCTGCCTTCCCCCCCCCCAGCAGCTATTAATTACAATCAAAATCCATTTATTTTGAAACAGTCAATTATTTAATTAAGCCAGGTCCAGCATTTAGAATACCCAATAACCAATTCCAGCATTTAAAACGAATCCAAAATTCAATGCTCTCAAAGAAAAAAAATTCTTGTTTCTTCCTTACTCCATTTTTTTTTCAGGGCTGAATCAATAATTCAAAGTGCTCATTACCCCCGAAAGTTACTCTTTTGAATGTCCTTTTTTCCCCTAAAATCATTACTTTGGGGATATTTTTAGGTAAAAATCAAGCTCAATTTCACCTAATCACACACTGTTCCTCTACTCACTCCTGCTCTATCTTCGTTGCTTTAGCTGCCCCAACTGGGTGGTGGCCATGTTGGCTGCCACTGCTCTTTGCCTTGGGGTTTAGTGAGTTTTCTCTGGGTCATGGAGGAGAGCTGCTGCTCCCGCAACCACCAGAGCATCCCTTTTCCTTTGCCCCCACTGCAGGGAGGCTTCGAGCCCCTGTTCAGAGCCCTCCAAAGGGAGTATTTGGTGCAGGATCATGGAGTCAGGATTCCTGCCGCCGATGCCACTGTGACCAGAACCTGAGTTTAATTATACTGATAATGAATATTAATATCATTAATGAATTAATTATGATCAAAACAGTAATAATGTGAAACCTCTGTCAAACCAAATAATAAAAAATAAAAAGCTAGTGTGAAAATATTATGTCATGCTAAAAATTATAAATGTCTTGCCACAGTTGTTAAGCAAATCACTGAAGTTGTTAGTACTAATTTTTGAGTTACATGCAGATGTGTCTTTCTACTGTAGAAAGTATCTACCACTGAATGAAATCTCTTTCTCATTTTCCCCTGTATTGTACAGATATGCTCTAGGAAGTTGGCAACATTCTGCAGAAAAAAATTGAAATATAGGCCACCTATGTGTGATGAGAAAAAACAAAGAAGTCTCACTACATCAGCAGAAGTGCCCTCCAATTATTGTACAGCCCTAACTCCACAACCGCAATTTCCTACGTAACATACAATTTTAACAAGAAAAAGTGATGCCTTTATGGGTGGAAGGAGCAAGGACTGTGACAATAGGCGTGAAAGCAAATAACTGAGACAGAAAAATGCAGCTAAATGACGATATTACAATAAGAGTGTCAAGGGAAAGAGTTCAACCTCCTGGCTTGCTTATTCATTTTTCCTAATGGCTCTAGATCACTAGTCTGGAATTGGTATTATATATTTTCTTTTCATTGAAATCACTGATATATATATCTACTATAAAAATGTTAAAAACAAGCATTGTACCATATTCTATCAGCTGGAAATTCTATGGATAAATCAATATATCTGTGAAAATATATTTCCTAGCACAATTCTCTAACATCAAACTGTCTCAAAATTAAATTGAAGAATTGTGCATATGTCCCATACATTTGGCATTCTGTAGTAATGTAAAGTTTGGTGTGCAAATTTTCACATTTAGTGCATATTTAACAAAAATCAGAATAATTACAATTATCCACTTAGCAAACAAACCTTTTTTATGTTATCTTACCTTAGATATGTGCCATATAGGAAGAAAACTGACACCATCAATCCATTTAGAAGAAATATCATAGCCACATAAAAAGAAGCAGGGTCTCCTAATCCTATCAAATAGCAATTCACATGGAAATAAAATACTTCATGTTTTGATTTTTAAATTAAGTTCCACTGTGCAAAAATTGTGCATATATTAATATATTGTTAGATAATTAAATTCTGTTTATGTTTAAGTTTGCATTATTTAACTTATCTATTTAATAGGTTTCAAAGGCAACTTCACAAAACAACTTAACAAAGATATGACTGAAGTGAAAAATTTGCATTGTTCTACGCACAAAACATGTACAGCTTGTTGGCTCCACCAAATGTGGGTACATTATGATCTGGCCACACCAAAATGGTTTGTTTAGATTTTGGCCAGATGAATTGTAGATTGTACTTGTTGGATAGAAGACTGTTTTTCCTTGTCTTTTTCTTTCCACCTCTACTATGTCCCATGTGCCCAACCACTACTTCCTTATCCCTCCTTTTGTTTTTGTCATTATGTTTAAATTAAAATGTAGCCCACTCATACTTTATTCCAACTCTGTTAGTGCCTTTCTTCTCTTTCTTTCACTGTCAATGCATTTTCCTCAGCAATTTCTCTATCCTAGAGAGGCTTTCTCGTTTATGAAAGTATTCAATGTTAATTACAGGTTATCCTCAATTCATGACCACAATTGAGATCAGAATTTCAGTTGCTAAGGCAGTTGTTAAGTGGTCCCAGGGTGCTGCCATTGTCATAAATAAAAGCTGATCGCCAAATTTCCAAATTTGACCTTGGGAAGGTTGTAACACCTCTACGTCACAAGGAGAATTGTACATCATTTTTTTCAATGCCACTTAAAATGATTATTAAATGAATGGCTGTAAGGACTACAAGTAATTCTATACAATGATGACAGAAAATAGAGGGAAACAAATGTATCTCTCTTTAGAGGAAGATGATGTTTGAAAAACTTCATTATGCCACTAACTGGAACATGAAGGATTAGCTAGCTAGTAGGATAGATTCTTCTATAGTAAAATATAAATAAGAAACACTGAGAACACTGAAAATGTATTTGGCTATTTCAGCATCTCATCAAAAACTGAAGAAAATTTGAAGAGATAATTTAAAACAAATCTATGGACTAGAGCTGGCATAAAAGAGATGTACCATCCTCTAAAAAGTTTCTAAGTGAAGCATGGAGTTTCCAAGAACCCACAGAAAGACCAAACAAATAACTACTTTTGCTTCAGAAAAACCTTATTTTTATGGGGATAAGTAAAGAGGTAATCAAGAAACTGCATTAGATTATTGATTTTGTTTGTGTGTGTATTATTACTCAACCTTTTCTGATTCTTGTTCTCATTCTGTATAACCCTAGACTTATTTCATTTCAGGCTATGACTACAATTTTTTTTCTTTATTAACTTTTTGTGATCAACACAGTAATTTGGAAGCCATCTCAAGTTCATTCTTAGCAGACCAGCACCATCTTGTGGTCTGCCTGGGACATTATAAGTACTTTTGTAAGTTCCTAAAGTAAAATATGTATGTATTTTGTTAGATGATGGGAGAGCCGATGAGATACTCATTGGAAGACACATGATCACAGTGGTAACTACCATATCATTAATTCAAAATAGAAAATATAGTCAAGTTATGAAGATGCTGAGAGTTTTGGGGATAAAAGTTTTGATTTCTCCAGCTGTACACCTTATGGGTTTCAGCACAATGCTAAACCAGTTTTCATCTGAAAGGAGAAAGAACATGCTTGAGGATCTGAAATCCTTCATGAATTTGGACTGCACTATTTCTAGAAAGGAATAACTGCAGTATCAACCTCCCAGAGCTCCATTTCAAAATGCAGCTACAACGTAATTTTCAATCATAACAATGATAACCCAGCTTCTTAAAGGTGGCTTAGATCATATTAAAATAATTGCAGCTCTAACCATAATGTGAGTATTGCATTTTTTAATTTGATTTTTATTATCTCTTCCTACCTTAGGAAGGGAATGCATCTTTTTTGAGATATCTAAAATTGTTAGTTTTGTCAATAAAAATATGTAGCCTATAAACAAAAACAGTTGTATTTGGTTATTTATTTTGGTCAGTTTATTTTTTGCACTGTCACTTCTTTACATAACTCTCTATATCTACAGTACTCATTGATGCAATTGGGATGGAATTTCAGTTACTGACCAGTAAGCAAATGGATAGGATTTAACTACATTTTTTACCATAGTTGTTAAGGAAATCACCATGGCCATTAAGCAAATCATCATTATTAAATGACAAGCCAGCAGAAAATGTTGCAAATCTTGATCATGTTATCAAAAGGCACTGCAACAATTTTAAGTACAAGATAGTTGTCAACCACCTAAATTGCAGACAAATGAAAGAAGAACTTGGATATCAATGCCATATCCATCATTTTGTAGAATTTCATCTCCAGGATGCTGCTGGATATAATCTACTAATGTCAGTTTAAAGGCAGACTCTTTTGAGTTGAATTCATGCTGATTTAATGGATATGTACATTATTCTTGATAATATGGAAGTGGTTTGCTACTTTTTGATTTTTTTCCCCTTTATTTTCTAATCTAGTTCTGAGCTCTTGAGTTTTCGTGATTACCCCCCATAGAAGTACTCTACACTTTCTAATAAGGTCATCCATAATTTCTACTTGAAATGAAAGATTCTGTAGCATCAAGGTATTGTAATAAATAAAAATAATGTTGAATGACTTGTATTTTGCTTCCATTTGATTTTATTTAAAATTAGAATACTAAACTTTAAAAAAATGAAAAGTCAAATAAGAAACAGCCTAGCTAGATCTCAGAGGGCTGCCCACTGACACGAGTATTAATGAGATGCTGCTTAGGCTCAAATCTATTTATTTCATGTTTTGGTCATGTTGCGTTTTATAATTTTAAGTTTCTACATTATTTACATACCTATATATGCTTCTTTATTTTCTCTTAACAAACAATTATTAAGGAGCATCCTTTCTGAAAATAAGATTCCTAAATGGACTACTGCAATATATACAAATTATTTAAATGTTAATTGATTAACTAAATATTTAATTAGACTATGGATAACCATAAATTCTAATTCTTAGTAACCTTTCAAAAAGGAATTTTTATATTATTTCACACTCCATTTTGTGCAATGTTCACAGTGAATAAATAAGGAACACTTGCCTTCACAGCTTTCAACAGGGCTCAGACCTTCCCCTCTATTCACAGTCCAACACTTTTGTGTGTGAATGCCAAAAGAGTTCATTGCCCCTGTATATATGCGGTACCAGCTGGCTAACACAACCTGTGCAGAAAATAGGATTATAAATTCAAAAGAACATTGTTTATCTCAGCAGTTAAAAGAAATTTATCTATGGCTATTCATCAGTCTCTGAATAGTTTAAGATTCTTTTTCTTCCTTCTGAAACTGCATTTTAAGTTTTAGTATATTTTTTATAAAATGGTAACTGACATTATACAAGCATACTGTTAAAAACATAAAGACACATTTGCAAACTTTCAAGGTGTTTAACAATCAAACTAAATAGCACATTAAATATTCTGAAAACATGATTTAAAAAATGATTTTTAAAAATTAGATTTTTTAAAATTTAAAACGGATTTTTTTATTTTTATCAAATTTATTTTAATAAAATGCTTTTGGATTAAAATCTATCTAAAGACAGTTTCTATTTAAGATACATTAATAATTTAGTTTATTCAGCATAAAATGGAGCTTAGTTATGTAGCATATTCTGCAATGTTTACATTTTTGGTAAACTCATTCAATGAATCCAAGCTCTGAAAGTAAATAGAAAACCTTCATTTTGTTTGTAAATAATAATATTAAAGATTCTAACTACCAGCAAGAATCAGTTCTTACCTTTAAAGAGCCCCTGTCATTTCAGATCCATCATGGCAGCGCCTGTTAGCAGGCATTCACTCACCTGCTGCCCACTATTTGCCTCATCTTGTTGTGTCACTGCAACATCACCAGCATCCCATTAAAATGAATGGGATTGTCAGTGAATCAACACTGGGTCAGAGGAGGAACTACCGTGGCACAGAGATGATAGTTGCTCCTTAAAAATTATGATTTAAATCGAGTTGATTTAAATCAAGCCTTTTTACTAGTGACTTTGACTTGATTTAAATCAAATCCACCCTGGAAGACAATAAAGTAATTCTTCTGGAATTTACACCAAAACTGAAATTTTATTAATAGTATTTTTCACAGAAATGTTTTCCTCTTTCTGGATTCATCATGTGAAGCTGAGATCTTATGTTTATAATACAGGTATTCTTAAACTTGTGACCAAAGTAAGATTGATCAAATTAAGGTTTTTAAGATAATAATTTCTGTTACTAACCAAGGCGATTGTTAATAAGTTACATGCAATTTTACAATTTTTGGGGGGCATGGTTGATAAGTAAATCATGCTGTTCTTAAGCAAATTCAACCTCTTCCATAGACTCTAGCTGTCTGAACCCACTTGGGAAGGTCACACATGGCAATCATATGACACTGGTATACTGCAATCATCATAAATACATGCTAGTTGCCAAGTGGCCAAATTTTGATCACATGCCTGGGGGGTATTGCAACAGACAGAAGTACTCTTTTTTGTAGTGCCATCATAATTTCTAACAGTCACTAAACAAATTGATGTAAATTGAGAATTACCTGTATATTCACTTCCTATTTAAAAGTCTCAGATACTAACAAAAGATACTACTTTTTAAAAACTACATGTAATTCTGTGTTGAAATTATTATTGTTTTATTACTAATATTATTATGGTTAATTTTCAATTCAATTCAGTCTGGGACTGCTAAAAACTTAACAGTTCAATATCATTTTTTGGGTCAGAGCATAGTGCATTGTCATTAGTTTTCTTGTCTTTCGATTCAAGTTATCAAGTTCTATCTGAGTCCAAACAAATATTCCAGCAGAGTATCAAATTACAGGCACTGCCCAGGTGTTAATTGCTTTTATGATATTTCCACCACTCAGCTTTGATCTCAAAATTTTCTGGACTCGCTTTATGTATTTTGTTGAAGTAGCTTTCTTGACTTGGTTGTGCAGCAGGTTCTTAAGTACTTGAATCCTGCTTCTGGTATTACTGCTTTTATCAACTCTTCATTATCAAGATAAAATCCATCATTTTCAACCATTTTCCTAACTTAACAGTAATTGTTGTCTTTGTCAAGGTGGTTTTTTGCACTGACAGAATATTCAGGTGTAATAAGGTCAAAATTTCCATGTATCTAGGTAGCCCTTTGGATATTGCTCCAAGGGCTCCTATTACTAGTAGTACAACCATGGATTTTTTCTTCCATAATTGCTCAATTTCAATTTGCAGATTACAATCTTTTGTTATATTTCTAGCTGTTTCTCTTCAATTCGTGCATCACCTGGTATTACAATATCAATGAACCAGATTTTTTTCTTTTCCACAATAGTGATGCCAGGAGTGTTGTGGACCAGATGTCTGTCTGTCTGGATCCGGAACTCCCACAAGATTTTCACCTGTTCATTTCCAAGAACTGTCAATTTGGTGTTCTCAGTAATTTTTGCTGCATTTGAACCCAAACTTTTGGCAAAGCTTCCAATGTATGATTTTGGCAATTCAATCATAACATTGTAGATAATCAGATTGTGAGATTTTGCTGCAGTCACTGATAAGGTGATCCACTGTTTCATCTTTCTCACTGCATTATTATTATTATTGTGGTGGTGGTGGTTGTTATTTAAAAAGTGACTTACCTCTGGATAGAGATTAAATCTTTTCAGTGTGTTTATTACAAGAGGATATTCAGTTAGATTATCATTCATAATCATCCAAACTCCACTGTAAAATGATGGTGCTTCAACGATAGTCTTGAAGTAGGAATAATAGAGACCCTAAGATGAATATATTTAAAAACAATACTTAAACATTTAATATTTAAATATATAATTTGTTTCATATTTGTACATTTGAATTTAAATAATTTGCTATAGCAATAAATATAATAATATCTATTGAAGTAATTTCTAGATCAGAAGTAAAATAAAACAAGATTAAAATAAATATTGCAAGTTATCTGTAATGTATCAACACATATGTTGAACTAGACCTGGCAAAATCCAAGTTCAAGTTTATACTAAAGTCACTGACACCAGTCATCAGGTATTGCTATAGAAAATAGGAGCAAGCAAGTTTGGTTTAGTGGTTAAGGCAACAGGAGACTGTGCATACTAATCCATCCTAAAATATGAAAGTCAATATGTGGGTAAAATAGAAAGAAGGAGTATTAGATATTTTTACCAACTTATGGTTATTTATAAACATAATAAACATGGAATATAAATAGGTAAGAAAAAATACCACATAAATTACACATAGTACCCAACTTACAACAGTTGTTTAGTGGCACTGAAAAAAGTGACTTATGACCATTTTTACACATGACCATTGCAGCATCGCCATGGTCACATGATCAAAATTCAGCCACTTGGCAGCTGACTCATATTTATGATGGTTGCAGAGTTCCAGGGTCATATGATCAGTTTTTGTGATCTTCTAATAAGCAAAATCAAGGGGGAGACAAGTTCATTTAACAACCTGTTACTAACTTAACAACACAGTAATTCACTTAACAACTATAGCAAGAAAGATCATAAAGTGGGGATAAATTCAACTGTGTCACTTAGCAATAGAAAATTTGGGCTCAACTGTGATCATAAGTTGAGGACTACCTATATTTGACATCATTCAAGAAAGGCAGGATATGAATCTAAAGAATCAATCGATATATTATATTCCTAACGAGTTTGTACTACTATTATGAGGTTCTAAATTCTTCTTAATCTCCCAAGCCGTGCAAATCATTAACAGAATAAATTAAAAATAACAACTGAATCTACATTTAGCCATTACAAATATAAATTCCATAAATTTTATTCCAAGCATAACTAAAATATATTTAAAATATATTTTATTGAAAAGATAAATATCTCTCATAGTAGGGGTCCCCAACTGGGCACACATGTGGATGAGTGAGCAAAGCTTCATCTGTGCATGAGTCTATGTTGCATTGAAACCATCCCCTATCTCCAATCCATGGAAAGATTGTCTTCCAAGAAATGGTCCCTCATGTCAGAAAGATTGGAAACCTCTGTCTTATAGCTATATTTTTCTTCTATCCAATTATGCATGATTCTCGGAGTCTGCCTTGATAAATCTCTGCAGCTTTCTTGGCAAAGTTTTTCGGAAGTGGTTTGCTGCTACTGCCTCCTTCCTATGGCAAAGAAAGTGACTGGTCCAGGATCACCAAATTGGCTTTGTGTCTAAGGCAGTACTAGCATTCACAGGCTCCTAGTTGGTAGCCTGGTGCCTTAACCACTACATCACATTTACTGAAACAATTTACTAATGTAATATATAAGTTGTTTGATTCCCAATGGCTACAGAGCAAATTAATTTAGTAAAGATATAATCTAAAGAAGCTGCATGTATTTGAAAAATTTCCAGCATCAGTAAAAGAAACTCTGATAAGTATTCTGTGAAACTGCAAACACCTAAATATTAAAATATTTCTAAATCATCTAAATAAGTACAATATCTTTTTGATTCAAGAATACATGGCAATTTGCAATTAAAAATAAAAAACATATAATTGTATATCCTTATTGCAGAATTAATAAATCTAAAGTAATAATATCACTTAAGTTATAAGTTCTAACCATTTCAGTTCGAAATGCCATTTCCCGTTCCAGAGTTGAAAGATGAGAAAAGTGACGATCATTTTCAAAGAGAGTTGTTATGTGATACCTGTTAAAAGTATACATATTTGGCAATAAATCAGAAGAAAGAGCCAGGAATTATTTGGGTAAAGAGATTATTGGATAAAACTTAATCACAAAAATACAGAATCCTGCTATGGAGTGATAGATCATTCTATTTCTTCCTAGTGAGTCTATTCACCTTCATTACAATCATTTGCACATATTTTTACAACTTAGGTGTACTATAATTCGTCATGTGCTCTACATAAACCAGTCCATTATAAGAAAATAAACATGAAATCTACATGACATTCAGAGTCATGTAAGTCATTATTTCCATATTGTTATATGTACTTTAAATGTTTAACATATGAAAAAAGTTGTCATCAACATGGAGGTTGTATTAAATGAAAAATATTTGACTTCAGAAAATATCTGAGTAGAGGCCTATATATTAAAATATAACCCAGCATTATTATGTTAGAACTATTAAAATAGCAACAACAAAGACATAAATTAAATTAGAAAGCCTTCATCTCAGCCTGAAATATTGTTTACTCCTTCAAATATAGGCATGCAGCAAATTAACAGCCTTTCTACTTGAGAATTCTTATTTTTTCCTTTTATAAGACCTGAATGTCTACATTCTAATATCTTCCGGAACAACAACACTAGTGCAACAATGGACTAATGTTGTATTAATGAGACCAAATCTTGTTTATTATTGTTTATTATGCCTAAAAAAGTGAATCCTGAGAGAAAAAAATGTGAGTACCATTAAAAAATAAGTAAAAACAGGAAGCCTATTATGTAAATGAATTAAAAAAATACAGAGAAAAAGTTAAAAAACATCCATTTTGGCCTAAATCACACAGAGGTGATTTGAAAACTGAGTACAACTTTTGGTCTCATGCAGCATCGAGGTAGTAGTGACTTCCCCAGAAAGTTGGAGATAATTGTTCTCTTTGTGGAGTGGCACTAGAAAGAACTGTGAACTAGCAAGCTCCAAAAGCTTTTCCCAGTGTCAGCTTTGTAAGATCTAAACTCACATTGTCACGAGGTCATCACGTGATGTATTGCAACTTTTTTCCCCTTTGCTAAATTGGGCATGAGCATGACCAGCGCATGACACATCTGGCCTACGGGCGATAAGTTTGACACCCCTGATCTAAATTCATCAGGAAGGATGTTTTGCCTCCTTCCTTGCGTACTGAGAGGAAGAGAATGCTAAGTAAATACAATTGGAGAAAAAAAGGATTTATAACCAATCCTATAAGTTTCTGCTGTTGTACACTGAGCTTGGCAATGTTAGATGTATATCAAAGTTTTATTAGAAGCCAAGATACCATATACATAGATAGAAGCTAATATTATTTTAACCCCGAAAGAAGAGTCAGATTATACTACAGGTCAATATCCTTATTAAATTCAGACTACAAAATATTCACTTTAATCATAACTGAAAGGCTCAAGAGATTAATGAATGAGTTTATACATTCTGATCAAAATGGGTTTCTACCTAAAAGGCAAATTAGTAGCAATATGAGAATTATTTTAGATATGTTGGAGTATTATGAAAAACAATTGCCATTGATCTTTTTAGATGCCCAGAAAACTTTTGATAATGTAAATTGGCAATTTATAGTGCAACAATTAAAGTATATGGACTTAAGCGAATAATTTATAAACATGGTCAAGGCAATATATGCAAAAGTGATGTGACAGAGAATTTCTATATAAAAAGGTACAAGACAAGGATGTCCATTGTCCCCATTGTTATTTATATTAACATTGGAAGTGTTAATTAGAAATATTAGACAGGACCCAGAAATAAAAGGAATGGAAATAAAAAAAGAAGAGTATAAATTACAAGCATTTACAGTGTCAGCTTTGGAAGCCACATTGAAACCAGATGCCCCCCAGCTGCCACGTTTTAAGCCTGGGAAAGTGGGAAGGTGGAAGTTCTTGGGGTATATGTAGTTGGACAAAATAACATTCTTTTTTAAGTTCAAGGTCATGCTATTGTGCACATATGTGAGGGGAAGTCTTCAGTCGGGACAGAGGATGATTGGGGCATGTGATGATGGGTGTAGGGGGTTGGATTTGTAGTTTTGATTATTGCAAGGAAGCTCAGAATTTTCAGATTCGGGATTCCCACAGTTGTGCCAGTTACTATCCAAATAAAAGAGAACTTTTGAGCGATGTCTGTCTCGGAGTTATTGGTTGGAGTGGGGGTTTGCTGGAACACTGACATGCAGATGACCTAGTTTTTATACTAGAAGAACCATTAGAAACCAGCCCTAGATTAATAGGGAAAATAGAGGAGTATGGAGAAGTTGCAGGATTGAAAATAAATAAAGAAAAAACTAAAATACAAGTTAAAAATCTTACAGATAAGATAAAAATGAATTGACAAAGAAGATAGATCTTCAGATAGTTAAGAAAGTGAAATATTTAGGAATTCATTTAACAGCAAGATGTGCAACAGCAAGATGTGCAACAATTAAAAATGATAAAAAGGTAATGCAACAAATTAAGCTGGACTTGGAGAAACAGAAGAACCTAAAACTTTCAGTGATAAGGGAGAATAGCTATGATAAAAATGAGTATCTTGCTGAAGTTACTTTTCTTATTCCAAACAATACTGATAAAAATAGAGAAAAAATACTATTGAACAAAATAATTAATATATCTGGCAATGGAAAAAAGCAAGAATAAGACTGAAAATGTTACAGGAGTCTAAATGTAACGGGGTTTGGGGGATATTGCATTGGGAGTTGTGTTATCATTCATCTGTACTTACATGGGTGAAAGAATTGATAACTCTGAGGCATAAAAGATTATTACTACTGGAGGGCCATGATCTTCAATTAAAGTGGCACGCCCTTTTGTGGTATGGAAGGAATCCAGCGCATAGATATTTTCAAAGACATGTATTATGTGAGGAATGCTTTACTTTTAGTAAAACTATAGGAAAATACCAGTCTGGCTTTCTACAATGGAAGCATTGATACATCCAAATGTTGTTAACTTTGAAAAAATTGTATCCTACAAAGACATTTTAAATGAGAAAGGGGAACTTAAACTAGACAGGAATTACAAAACCAAGGGGTGGACTTAGCATGGTGGCCACACCTGCAAGTACAATCAAGATATGAGAAAGATGTGAAAACATGGGGTTTCTATAAAGAACCAACAAAACTCAATAATATATTATTAGCGACAGATGAAAAACTGATAAGAAAACTATATGGTTATCTACTAAACTTTAAAATGGAAGATGAACAAGTAAAAGAAACAATGATAGTATGAGCAAAAATTTTTGGCTACACTATAGAACTAGACAAATGGCAAAAACTTTTGGATAGAAATTACAAATTGACAATGGATACTACATATAAGGAAAATCTTTATAAAATGTTTTACAGGTGGCAGCTGCCACCGGCAATATTAGCAAAAATATTTAAAAATATGTCCACCAAATGTTGCAAATGTAACCAGACCCCAGGTAATTACTGTGTTTCTCCAACAATATGCCTCCCAATAGGAAGGCACAGCACTGTTTTATATAGGCATGAGGTGAAATTAAGCCCCACACCCAAAATTTGGGCCTATTTAAAGAATGCAAACTGGGGGGGAAGGGCAGGGGGAACTTGCCATTAGGAACGGCCCGCAGGCAGACTTGCCTCATCACTAGGCCACTCCTAATGGCCGATCGTGGCGGACAGCTCCCTACCCCTGCCAAGCACCTTTGCTGCAGACCTGACTATGGTGCTGGCTGCAGGCCAGGTCAGTGGGCGGGCGGCGGCGGAGCACTTTGCGGTGGAGCACTTTGCGTCGCAGGAGCTTCATTGGCTGCTGCTGCTGCTTCCTCTGCTGCCGTCGCTTTCCCTTCTGCCCTCGCTGCAGCTTATGCCGCGTTCAGAGTGTTGCCATTGGGCAAGACACAGAGCCCGGAGTTGCAGATTCTTTTGGATCATTCACCTGAATGGTCAGGTGCTCTCCTCTTGCTCCAGCTGCCTGAACCCCACCCGTGGAATTTTCCCCCTAAGTTTTATTCTCTCTGTCAGTTTTATTCCCTCTGTCAGTTCCCTAAGAATACAGACTGGCCAGGCAGCTTCCTCCTCCCCCCCTTCCCGGTAGCGTCTCCTCCACCCTCATGTTTCTTGGGATTACTTTGTATATTTGTTAAAAAGACATTACTAAGCCCAGAACCTTCTGATCCTATGCCGGTAGCTTGTTTTTGCTGTGCCAGCACCTTCCAGCACCTCACATTTCCCATCATTTATCCTATATAATCTGTACAAAGACCCATAATTGTTACTTTTACCATGAATGAGCCAAGAGAGTCCGCTTGAACAATGCGGGCAGGGGGGACAGAATCCGACGAGACCATGACCCGAAGCTCTGGGGCGGGAAGCAAAGCAGGGCGTGGGGGAGGAGAATGATGGCATCATCCTCCCGCCACCGCTTCCATCCACTGAAGCCCAAATGACTCACTGACTTGTTGTTGACGCAGCCACTGTCAAGCAAAGCGATGCCCACACGGAAGGGCAGGCGGTTCTTGTCGGCAGTGGGGTCTATCCCGCTATCCCGCAATCAGGAGAAAATGTCAAACAAAGGCTAGAAAACTCAGGTTAAAGGCCTATGAGCCTGGCTCAAAGAGCTATAGCTTTAGCAATGGGAGCAAGAATAGTGATTTCTAGTTTTGCAGAGCAAAATTGGAACAGAATTGATCCCAATTTTTGGAATGATCCACTTAGCAACAGTGACCCACTTAGTGATGGTAACTCACTTAATGACATGTCAACATTCAGGGAGGAGAAACTGAAAAAGAACTAGAAAAGGAGTCAGGTGAAGATGATGACTGGGATATGAAGCAAGAGAGGTTGAAACGCAAGAGTAGTCAATGCCACGCAGGTCAGAGCGATGAACAAAGGGATTTTACCTGACAGGTATTCTGCTAGTGAGGTAAAGGTGTTTAATGTGTAGTATGAGCCAAGGAACTACAAGGAAGTATTGGCATTACCCAAAATTGAATAAGCAAAGTGGAAAGAAGCCATGGACAAAGAAATGAAATCTATGGGTGAACATAAAGTGTTCATATCTATGACTTTGCCACAAGGTTGCAAAGCTATAGGATCTAAGTGGGTGTATAAAAAGAAAGCACTACCCATCAATGAGGTACATTATAAGGCAAGATTAGTGGCACAAGGTTTTTCACAGAAGAAAAATGTGTACTATGATGAGGTATTCACACCAACTGTAAAGAGTGAAAAAATAAGGTTGGCATTAGTGTTGGCAGCAGCACCTGGCCATAAAATATGGCATTTTGATATAACCACAGCATTCCTCAATGCAGAATTAGAGGAAGAAAATTACATGGTTTAAGCACCAGGGTATGAAAGTAAAAAGCCTAACACTGTGTATAAATTGAACAAGGCCATTTATGGGCTGAAATAATTAGCCAGGAATTGGAATATCTGTTTAGATATGGCACTGAAGGGTCTTGGGTTCTAGAGTTGCAAGGCTAATAGTTGTATATTATCCTGGAAAGTTACAAGTTGGGGATTGTCAATTATTAGCATTTGTGGATGATCTTTGTTTCATTGCAAAGGATTTGTTACAGAAAAAATAATTTGCCAATCAATTGAAGAAAAAAAACTGAATTGAAAAATTTGGGTGAAATATAAAACTATCTTGGTGTAGAAATACAAAAAACTGAGAAAGGCGGTTATGTTCTCAGTCAAAGAAGAAAAATTGAACAACTATTGGAGGGATACAACACAAAGGATTTTAATTCTGCACCAACACCTATGAGCAAAGATTTTCACAACAATTTGGGTGAGGACAAAAGTGAAGCCTGTGATCAAGAGATATATCACTCTGCAATAGGAAGCTTGTGATATCTGTCACAATGGTCCAGACCAGGCATAGTTTGTGCAATAAACATCTTAAGTCACTTTACTGCTGCACCAACGCAATTGCATTGGATGGGTGTAAAAAGGATTCTCGGGTATTTGAAGGGAACTGTGAATTTGGGTCTTCAAATACAGGTCTCTGAAGCATTAAAATTGAAATGTTATGTTGACAGTGATTATGCCAATGATGTAAAAACCAGAAAGCCTAGTTCTGGGATTGTGGTATTATTTGGAGGGGCTTTAATTGGTTGAAAGTCCAGTAAACAAACAACTGTAGCCATTTCTATGGCAGAGGCAGAATGTATTGCTCTATCTGAGCTTTATTCAGAAGTAACTTGGTAGGTATAATTGTTAAAGGATTTAAATGTAAAGGTAAATGAAGTTATAATGGTGCTTGAGGATAATACTGCATGCATAAAAATGGCAACAAGTACACGAGTAAAGAATAGAAGCAAACATGTGGATATTAAATATTGTAATGTAAGAGAAGCCATCAAATGTAATTAATTAGCTTGTTTCAATGTTCTTCAGAGGACAATCTAGCAGATATCATGACCAAGCCATTGGGTGGAGTGCACCATGGGAAGAATATTAAGTTATTCAGTTTTATGTCTATTCCAGTCATAAAGGGAGGAGTGTCAGTGTATAAGAAAGGGATAGCCATAACAAGTCAGCCAATGGGAACTATAAATTAATCCTGCTGAATTATTTGTGTGCTGATTGTATTGCTGCAAATTTTTATTAGGTATAATACCAGAAAACTATAATAAAGGGACTATATATTTAATGCTATATGTATTGACAGCAGAAAGAATTGTATTTGCGCAATATTCAAAAAATGAGAACTTCTCACCATATGAAGACATAATTTGGAAAATATTGGTCTGTGCAGAGGTGGATAGACTGACATTAAAAAGATAAGATTAAAAGATAGAGATACAGAGTATTGTTCAACATGGAATAGATTTTATTAATGGCTAGAGATAAGGGGTAGAAGTTAGATGAAGAAAGATCCCTGTTATATGTATTTAAAATATGAATGTTGTCTATAAGTTATGCTAGTATAATTAATATGATTATAAATAAGCTGATATAATTATAAATATTATTATAATTATCATGTATATTATTATTATTATTATTGTCAGCATATCCATTGTTTTTCTTCTTTTTTGGTAAAAGAAAATGCCTGGACAACACTCTGCTTTCAAAACAAAAACCTGATTTTTAAAAAAGTTTCTGCTGCCATATGATCATGATCCAAATACTCAGTGCCTAGTTCATAATTATAACTTCATAGTGGGTTGTGTTACATGAATGCCACTGGCAGCTTTTCATAAACAAAATCATTGGGAAAGATGGTAAGAAAGATTGTAAATTGTCCCAGTAAAATATTCCTGCTTTTTCTCCCAAGGAGTCCATCATTTCCTACTTCATAGCAGCTCCCTGCCTATCTTCATTCTAACATGCCTGTGGCCTCTATAGATCAACTCATACTTCTTAGTGCTCACCCACAGTAGGCACATGCCCCACATGCACCTTATGTGGGACTCCTACCTGTTCCTGTTTATTGACCTGCATATCTTGGGGTTGTGATGGCAACTGGAACTGCTGTCATTATTCATTTATGATCACATCACTTCGCAACAGCTATTCTAATCCCATTTGGCCTCTAACCCAAGAGCTGCCTGTAAGGGAAGGAGGAGGGCAGTCTGAAAGAGAAGGAGTGGAAGACACACATGCTTTATAACCTCTGGCCTAACACTGTATGCAACCTAAGGGACAAAACATAAATTATAGAGATAATGCTACTATAATTAGACATTGATGAAGTATATTTGTTTATTGAACATAAACTTACCAGTGAAGGATTCCAGCAACAGCAGCTGTTAAATAAAACAAAACATACCACCTTAATGATTTTTAAATTAATGTTTTAAAATGTAACCCCAATCCTTAAGGGCTGTATAAAAACTTGCACAGAATTTCTCTGCACAAGACATGCTATATTTTCTGTACAATATTCATACAAGTCATACAAATAATTACATTATATTATGTATGTAATAAATTATGTATTTATTATGTATAATAAATTATGTCTAATAAATTATAATAAATTATGTATTTATTATGTATGTAATAAATACAAATAATTACATTGTATAAATTCAGATATATATGTAAAAGTTAGAGTGAAACAGATAAAATAGATATATGCATTATTGCTTTCATATATTAGCTGTTTAAAAATATTACAGTGTTATAGTTAGGGTACATCTAACAAATTTCTAACTTCTCATGAAGTCAATTTTATATATTTTAAAAAAAGACACATCAGTATCTATGCAGTTTCTGCTATGGCACAGGAGCAAAAAAAGAGAAGGCAGGATAGACTCAAATATATACCTATAAAGTCCATGAGAATACTGCACACATACTCTTGTAGTTTGGATATATTTTTGTAATATAACTATAGAAAACAATAGTATAATTTCTGGATCTGTAACTAAAAAAAATAAGGTTGCAACCAACAATCATCAACCTTAAGCTATTGCCTTTAATACTAACAATTCCAAATATAAATGCAAATATATAGTTTATTAATGAAATATATATTGATATCACTTGAAAAACTGCCAATTTTGTCATATTATTACACCCCTTAACAACAAGAATAAAGTGTCATGAAACTCATATTTTTCTGCAAGAATCTCAATCATCTACCATATGAATATATTATTTTACAAATTTTGTGGGAAATATTGTTAAATACCCAAATAATTTACTTACATTATGTCTGTGGAACCAACAGGGTATCAACATCAAAATCTTAGTCTTATTTGGGAGTAAATCTAGTCAAATGACTGATTTTTGAAAGCCCCCTGTACGATAGCATTATTCAAAAATAAGAACTGTAAAATTCTCACCCATTATAAGTGTAAGCCATATTTTGCTATCCGTTTGTGCAATAAAGAAGCCTGTTTCCCTCAGAGTATCTATATAAAAAGAAAATAAACATCATTAACATACTATTCATTTATAGAATTTATAAAATATATTTAAAAGAATTGCCCTCAAAAAAAGATTATTATTATTTAGAAAGCTAACTTTTTGATTCCTCATATTGAATCTGGATCTTTTCTCAGTAATACTAAATAGTTATATGTAATGTCCAAATTTTGTTAACACATACCATTTTTTTCAGTAGGATGATATATACTTAGTGCAAAAAGTTGGGAGATTTAGCTTACATTTAAGTAGGATACAGAAGGAGACTTCTTGAACTCTTTGTCCCATTACAATTCTTTCAGATAGGGTATGCAATGAGAGGTTATGCAATAATATGCCATTAATGCACAGCTGGCAAATTCAATTGCGTCACATGACGTATTGTGCCATATTGTGAAGTTTTTTGCCTTTGCAGAGCAGGGGTGGGCACGGCCTGCGCATGATGCATCCAGCCCACAGACTGCCAGTTTGACTGGCCTGCATTAATGGAAAGAACCTTCTCCCATTTTCCTATCCTATCACAACAAAACTACTCCTGGTGTATATGGGCACAAATATGCCCGAAGAAATAAATCTTAGTGCTCATTTGGCTTCCTGTCTGAAATTGACTTTTTTAAAAAATTTACTTTATTGTCATTGCACTTCGTAAACGAAATCAACACCATCTTTAGTGTACCTCATGACCAAGAAAATAAACACAAACGCACATCCTTCACACTCCACACATTGAACCAAAAAACCCCAACACTGCACTATACAGTAGAATTCAAAAGAGCTACTGCCCTGGGATAGAAGCTGTTTTTCAGCCTATTTGTGCTTGTTTTTATTATTCTGTACCGTCTGCCAGATGGTAATCATTCAAAAAAAAGGTTCCAGGATGAGATGAATCTTTGAGAATGTTTTTAGAGTTGTTCAAAGAAATATGCTTCTGGGTTCAATTCCAAGTGGGGAAAAAGACATTGGATTCATGGAAGTTGCCTGGAAAGAAGGTTTAATGGTGGGCAGGATTACATGCCTTAGAGCTCTTGAGCGAAAAGGGGGAGAAATGCTGAGAGTTCCTTGGTTTTATGTCCTCTCTAAGCTTTGAACTTCCTGGGGCAGAGTATCCTGATTGGATGCTGTCAGGGGTCATAGCTAGCTTTGTAGGTTGTATGTGTGCTAAATTTGGTTGAATCCTGCTGGGTGATGTAATCTTCCCAGGTGCCATGTGGTGAGATAATCTTATCATGTTTTATTTGAAAATATGTTAAACTGTCCAGAAAAAAACTAAGATATATAGAATATTATAATCCTGTAGAAGAGGAACTTAGAGACATAGTTAAGTAGCAGTCTCATTCATTGACTCTTTAATTTGCCAAGACTGCTATTTTGAGAATGGAAAAACTATCTCCTCCAGTAAGATTAGTCATAATCTCAAAATTTAAAAAATTCTCAACTACCAAGACGCTGAGGTCCAAGCATATCATTGCTCTGAATTTTTATGCATTAAATTTAGAACTATATCTTAATTTAAATACAGTCCTTTGACTCAGTGCAACACAATCTCTGATATAATATACATGTAATATTATTAATTACTTTAAATATAGTTAAGAAGCTTATGATGCACCTTAGGCATGTGTATATATGACCATGTTTGAACCCTTAGCATGAATATGTTGTTGGATTAAGCCCACACAAGGCTGCAATCTTGCATTTTAACTGAATATCTTTATCTCAGGAAATTAAAACCAAGTTTAGATATGAATATATCAGCACTATAGAGATAAGTCTGAAATAACATAAGAGCGGTGGCGGAGTGGTTAGAATACAGTAATGCAGGCTAACTGCTCACTCCTAGCATTCTCACCAGCTCAAGGTTCATTCAGCTTCCATCCTTCCAAGGTCAGTAAAATGAGGACTCAGATTGTTGGGGGCAATATGTTGACTATGTAAACTACTTAGAGAGGGCTGTAAAGCACTGTGAAGCAGTATATAAGTCTAAGTGCTACTGCTATTCCTAAACTGTTGTTGCTTTTATCAGGATGAAACCATAGGAAGTGCCCTAAGACTTCCATTGGTGGATAGTAAACCAATCAACAAAAGAAAGCTTTTCATTTAAAATGGAGAATTTTTTTAAAATATGCAAATGCTGGGAGATTTTCATTATGCACTATTAAATCAATGTTGACCCTTAGCAATCACATACAGAGCATTTCTTTGTGTATTCCTAATGTGAACCCTCTTCCACAAGTAGATTCCTTGCCACTGTAACTGAATTCATCCACTGGCTGTTTCTTCCACTTTTACCAGCAATGTACCTACTCTAGGTAGCTAAGTCTTTGCATAATATGTTGAAAGTAAATAATCTGCACATGATGATTTATGTCTTCATTGAGAATGCTGGACTGGTTTGTTTAATGACCATTAGTTAGTTTTTTTGGCTGTCAACAGTAATCAAAGGATTCCTCCAATATCAAAGTTCAAAAACATCAATACCTTTCTTATCTTATTCATCTTTTTTTTTAGTATCTTTACTGAAAATGTTAACAGTGAAAAGAACTAATACAAACTAAAATAGAGCAAAAATAACAAAAATGAAAAAGTGAAATAAAAGCTAAAAGTTCAATAAGAAAAAAAATTAAAAGAAAACAGGAAAAAATAAAAATATAAAGATGAAGTGGCTTCCAATATTCTTCACAACAGTTAACTAAAATTATATTTTAACATTTCCTTTTTTAAAGTGGCATCACAATTCTCTTTTTTCCTTTTTCTCTTTCCTTCCACTTTCCTTAGAATTATACCTTGTCCAGCAAATTAAGTCTTTGCATACTGTGTCCAAATTAAATATAACAGAAATGTTGGAAGTGGCTTCCAATATTCTTCACAGCAGTTAAATGTTTACATTTTAACATTAATTTTTTAAAGTTGCATCATGCCTCTCTTTTTCCTACAATCTATCTTAACTAAATAATCAAAACTATAAATGACAAGTTCATTTTCATGAAAAAGTCCATAGAGGTGTTTCCAGACACCAATAAAGGTTGATATTGTCCTTTTATTAACCAAAGTCAGTTTATCCATTTCAGCAAGTTCTATCAATTCCATCAACATCCATCCTTTCTTGCATCTTCAAAGTTCAGGTTTTGCTGCTGCAGGGAACACATTTGTTATCTTTGTAGGTATAGGCATATTATGGCATCTACATATCATTTACAAGGATTTCATGGCTGCTCTACCACATGCCTTATTGTTGTTGTTGTTAGTAGCAAAGTCATATCCAACCCATCTTGACCCCATGGAAAACATTCCTCCAGGCTTTCCCTCAATTCTTTGGCACTTAGCCTTCCTTATGGTCCAAATTTCACAGCCATACATTGCAACTGGGAAAACCATAGCCTTGACTATACACACTTTTGTTGACAGGGTGATCTCTCTGCTTTTTAGTATGTTGTCTAGGTTTGCCATTGCCTTCCTTCCCAGAAGCAAGTGTTTTTTAATTTCTTATCCATAGTGCTCATCCGCAGTGATCTTGGAGCTCAGGAAAATAAACTGTCATTAATTTCATTTCTTCCCCATCTATATGCCAGGAATTGAGAGGACTGATACCATGATCTTAGTTTTCTTTTTTTTTTTTAAATAGATTTTATTGAATTTACAGTTTAAAAACACATCAACGGTACATTTACAAAATAGAAAGAAAACGGCTGGGGGGAAAGAAAGAAAACACCCGGCCTAACACACCGGATAAGGGCCGGTTGGGGGGAAGAGAAAAGATATAGAGGGAGAGGGGGGAAGGGAAGGGGAGGGAGAATAGGGTAGAAAGTACAATTAAAAACGAACAATATCTTTTTGTGACAGTCTGTAAGGATCATTTCTCTTCGTCATATCCAATCTACTCCTCTTTTCCATTATGTTTAAGTTACTCTATATCATTTACATAATTTGTCTCTGTGTAAGCCAATTATACCATAAGTCCCAGTTGTCGTAAAATGTTGAGGACTCTTTGTTTTTTAACGCTATAGTTAGTTTATCCATTTCAGCACACTCACAAATTTTCTGAATAACCATTTGTTCTGAAGGTGTATGAGGTGATTTCCAACATTGAGCAAACGCTAATCTAACCGCAATTAGAATATGGATTATTACATATTTTGTCTTTTTGGATAAATATCTATCAGAGATCCCTAACATGAAGAACTCTGGTTTATAGTGTTTGTTCTTTAGTTAACTCCTCCGACCATTTTCTGATTTTTTGCCAAAATTTTTGGGTAGTTTTACAAGACCACCATGTGTGGAAAAATGTTCCTTCAGTGCTTTTGCATTTCCAACACCTTGAGCTCATGTTAGGGTTCATCTTCGCCAACCTCGAAGGGGGTAAGTGCCATCTATATAACATTTTATACATATTTTCTTTGTACGCCGCCGATTTCGTATGCTGGATGTTTCTATTCCAGATCTTTTCCCATTCTGTTAATGTAATGCTTCTTCCAATATTCCTACTCCACGTTATCATGTTCCCTTTCACTATCTCTTGCTCTAATTCTACCTCCAATAAATATTTATAAAATTTGGAAATATTCTTTTTATTTGATCCTAATAAGATTTTATCTAAATATTGTAATTTGCTATAGATTCCAATGGTTCAATGGTTCCGTATCCAGTTCTCACTGTTGCTTCTTGACCCGCATATAGGTTTCTCAAGAGACAAATAAGATGGTCTGATACTCCCATCTCTTTAAGGACTTGCCACAATTTGTTATGATCCACACAATCAAAGGCTTTAGCATAGTCAATGAAGCAGAAGTAGATGTTTTTCTGGAACTCCCTAGCTTTCTCCATGATCCAGCGTACATTGGCAATTTGATCTCTAGTTCCTCTGCCTCTTCAAAATCCTGCCTGTACTTCTGGTAGTTCTCGATCCACATACTGTTGGAGCCTAGCTTGTAGGATTTTGAGCATAACTTTGCTAGCATGTGAAATGAATGCAGTGGTGCAGTAGTTTGAACATTCTTTGGCATTGCCCTTCTTTGGAATTGGAATGTAAACTGACTTTGTCCAATCCTGTGGCCACTGTTCAGTTTTCCAAATTTGCTGGCAAATTGAGCGTACCCCTTTTACTGCATCATCTTTTAAGATTTTGAATAACTCAGCTGGAATACTGTCACCTCCACTAGACTTCCTAAGGCCCACTTGACTTCACATTCCAGGATGTCTGGCTTGAAGTCAGTGACCACCCAATGTGGTTATCAGGGACGGTAAGCTCGTTTTTGTACAGTTCTTCTGTGTAATTTTTCCACCTCTTCTTAATCTCTTCTACCTCTGTTAGGTCCCTGCCATTTTGGTCCTTTATCATGCCCATCTTTGCAGGAAACATTCCCTTCTTATCTCCCATTTTCTTGAAGATGTTTCTGGTCCTCCCTGTTCTATTGTTTTCTTCTATTTCTTTGCACTATTCATTTAAGAAGGCATTCTTATCTCTTCTAGCTATTCTCTGGAATTCTGCAGTCAATTGGGTGTATCTTCCTCTTTCTTCCTTGCCTTTCACTTCCCTTCTTTCCTCAGCTATTTGTAAAGGTTCCTTATACAGCCATTTTGCTTTCTTGCATTTCTTTTTCTTTGGGATGGTTTTAGTTGCTATCTCTTCTACAATGTTGCGAACCTCCATCATAGTTCTTCGGGCACTCTGTCTATCAGATCTAATTCTTAAATCTATTTGTCACCTGTTATTGTATATTCATCAGATATATGATTTAGTTCATACCTGAGTAGCCTAGTGCTTTTCCCTACTTTCTTCAATTTAAGCCTAAATTTTGCAATGAGAAACTCATGCTCTGAGCCACAGTCAGCTCCTGGTCTTGTTTTTTACTGACTGTATAGAGCTTCTCCATCTTTGGCTACAGAGCACATAGTCAATATGATTTCTGTGTTGACCATCTGGTGATGTCCATGTGTAGATTCATCTGTTGGAAAAGAGTGTTTGCTATGATCATTATATTCTCTTGACAAAATTCTACCAGTCTGCGTCCTGCTTCATTTTGTACTCCAAGGTCAAACTTGCCTGTTATTCCAGTTATCTTTTGGCTTCCTACCTTAGCATTCCAATCCCCCATGATAACAAGGACATTATTTTTTGGTGTTAATTCTATAAGGTGCTGTAGGGCTTCATAGAACCGATCAATTTCATCCTCTTCAGCACCAGTAGTTGGGGCATAGACTTGAACTACTGTGTTGAATGATTTGTCTTGGATTTGAACTGAGATCATTCTGTCATTTTGAGGACTGTATCCCAGTACTGCTTTTCCTACTCTTATTATGAAGGCTACTCCATTTCTTCTGAGGGACCCTTGCCTGCAGTAGTATACCTGATGGTTATCTAAATTAAATTCACCCATTCCTGTCTATTTTGATTCACTGATTCCTAAGATGTCAATGTTCAGTTTTGTCATCTCTTATTTGACTACGTCCAGCTTGCCTTGATTTATGGATCTTACATTCCAGGTTCATATGGACTTTAGGAACCACATGCTAGTTGAAAGCAAATTGTTCCTTTGGTAATGATGATTGCAGAAGCTATCTATCACATTGATACTTTAACTATCAATTCTAAGACTGCTTGCTGTATCTGTTGTTATTAGTTTGGTTCTCTTAGTAATTAATTTAAATCACACTTTAACATTATTAGGTCTTGCAAATTATTTGCATTTTCATCTATCAAAATGTCACCAACATAGCAGCGATTGTTCTTTCTTCCTTTAACTTTAAATCCACACCCATGTTTTAATCCATCTTCCCTTAATATATATTCAGCATATAGGCTGAATAAATAAAGGGTATACATGTCTAAATTCTTTGCCAAGCTCGAGCATTCTGCTTCACCATGTTCTCTTCATACTGTGGCTTCTTGACTTGTGTATACATTTCATATGAGCACCATTAAATATTCTGAGATTCCCATTTTTCTAAGTATATCAACAGAATCAAAGGCCTATCTATAGCAATTTCTTTTTGGTATTTGCTGGTGGAAGGAGCAGAGGAAATATCTGGTTTGTTAATAGAAATGTTTGCCAAAGGTGACAGTGTTTGTATTAACATTAAGGTTCTGTCCACTTTGTTATATGAAAGTGAAAGTTAGGTAGGTAAGAACAAGTATGAAAGTACAAGGAATGCAGTGGGAATGGCTTATTAAAGAGGTGAACACTGTAAACAAAGTATGAATGAAATATGGATTGAACACAAAATGTGGTTTACCAAAAAAATGAATTAGGATTAATAGCAAAACAAATATTTGAAAGAATGACGGAAAGAGAAGACATGAAATATATGGTTGGATGGAATTGATGAGCTGTTGAAAAAGAGAGAAAAGGCAATATATGAATCAGGGTACAAATGAGGTGGAATCAAGGATGAGCTGCAAAGACAGAAAATAATGGAAAGGAATAATGAATAGTATTGTCAAAACTAAACTGTTAGATATAGAAGACGCTTGTTTTATCTTCTTTTATTCACTTCTTCCTCTTTGTCTGCATCTCACATACACATATCCAAAAGTGAATACTGTATAAGTATGCCTTCGTGTAAAATAAATCTGACCAATCTCATTTTTCCTTAAGGTTTATCTACAACAGCCTTCTTTTCCCACTATCTTTTCTATTCTTGAAGTTTGATTCCAAGACCACCAAAAAGCAAAGTTTGGGCGGGGAAAGCAGGAATCTCCTATCAAAATTATTTTCATTTTATCAAACATCTGAAAAATATTTTGATAAAATCTGTCCGCCCCATGGATGATGTTTTGTGTAACTCCCCACTGATACAGGCGCCAACGGCAGTTATAAATTTCAAGAGGGTCCCGAAAAAGAGATCGGCGCAGCTTGATCTTCTCGTCTACTCGTCGACTCGGAAGTAAGCACCACTACAGTCTACCCTCATGTGGGAAGAAATCCAATAGAACTCAATTCCTCTCGCCTAGTCTAAGAAGGCAGGCGGAGATCAGGCTGCAGGAAGTACATTTAACTAAGCCGAGGCTCCCGCGGCACAGTCAGTTAGCCCTTCCCTCCGTTCTTGCTTTTCCGCTCCAGACCCTATGATTCCCCCAACCCGCGGGTCTCTCACCGCGCAGCCAGTCTTGCCATTCGCCGAATTCGTGGGCCAAGCGGTCCCGCTTCGCTTGCTTCTGAGAGTCGCTTTTGGTCCCTTTCCTGCTTTGTCCTCCCCTCTTCATTGCGTGAGGAGAGGCCCCACCGGGAAGCTGCCTCCCCAGCGACTGTTGCAGCCCGCGGAGTAAGAAGGCAGCGGCGGTTGGTTCGCTTATGGCGTCTTGTCTGGGGCTGCGATCGGGCTCCGCGTCTGCACTCTGGCCCTTATGCTTCTCTTCCTGAGGTGGCAGGCGCGTAGGAGAAGGAGGAGCTCGCCTGCCGCGGCTGTTGCCCCCACCACTAGCGAGATTGAGAGGCGGCGACTCTTTGACATCTCCTCGCCTAGGCCGGCCTGTTCTTCTCATTGCCCCCTACAGGCGGCCAAGCCCCAAAGAGGAGATAGAGAGGAAACTAAGGGGGAATAGTTTATCGATGCCGGACTTCAGACTCAGCTGAATGGTCGCTCCTCCCCCTCCGAGAGCGCTAACAGTTGTCGTGGACGGGTAACGGCAGAGAAGAGGCACGGCGCAACTGTCATTCGGTGCACGCGCCTAGATATCGCCGTGGTGATGGTGCTTCTCCCACGCATCTCTTGTTCCTTTTCAGCTACAGTCGCGTCCCAAACTATTGCTTGATTCGCAAAACGGCGAAATCAAATCTGGTGCATATATTCATGACGAAAGCTCTCTTTGCTGTATGGTGTAAAGAGCACCCTCCTAATTCTGGGGTAAGAGTGTTTTGCTCTCAAAGATTTTCCGTGTGTGTGTGTGTGTGTGTGTGTGTGTGTGTGTGTGTGTGTGTGTG